ACTTTACATATGCAATTATGAGGATTTATTTATTTATTATTCATTTCTCATTCAATTGGCATTGTAATTTTGATGCAGTCGTTCTGTGCAGTTTTGACACTGTTGAACAATTGAATTGGTATTTGCTTTGCATTTTAGAAGATCATTGTTCCTTAACTCATTATTGTTAGCAGGAAAACGAATTTGATTGCCATTTGATAAACAACTTTTTTTCATGGATTTTTGTTTGTTTCTATTTGATTGCGGCGTTTGTTGGTTTTATTATGGTTATGCACTGATCAACGAGTTATGATCATTGAGAGTTTGATGGTGTGCATATATTTCGATGCGATACACCACGTGCTTCATTCTGATGCTTATTTTTGCACACTCATTGTTGCAGCAGCCATCCCTCTCTGCACGATGATGCGTTCACACGCGCTTTCATGAGTGCATTGAATTGATGCAATCAGATGGTGGATATGTTTTTTTGATTGCATCGCATATTGTCACGTTTTTGATTAGATTCATGTAGCGGTGACTAAATTTATTGGAGCACGACGACTCAAGGAATCTGAACGCAGAGTCTGAGTTGTGATTGAGTTCTGTTGGATTTCGAGACTTTAGTTTGGTATTTCCTCTGAATCGCCTCTTTCAAGCTCATGTTGCAAGCGCTAGCTAGCATTGGTCCTTTTTTCTTCATTGATCATTTCATCGTTCACGAAAACACTTTGATGAGGTCACTACTGTCAGCTCGTTTCTTACTCTTTTCACCATATGCAAATGTGTTCTCGTGTATAGTCTTCAGTAACATTCATAAATTTCAGTCATAAATTCAGTTCTCTGAAGAAGTTCACAAGATGCTGCTCTTCGTTAAGGTGAATAACTGCTTAATTGCTTATGCTCAACAGACATTCACTATCTTTGCAACAATTCGGCTGACCTTTCGGATCAGATAGTTTAATGCCAGCAATATTGTGTTGAAAACGGAAAGTTCCAGAACCAACGAGGTCGAGCACTCTCGATTGATATGGATGAGACAGATACCGTAATGCAACTCCTAAAAGAGGTACTACGTGAAGAGGGTTTCGAAGTGCAGGATGCGGCTCAATCAAAACTTATTTATAAAGGTATCGATTCCAAATCATTGCTCGAAGCAAATGTTTACTGTAGAAAAGAGCAAGTTTAAAAGTGTGCCAAGACGATATAGCGATTCGAATGTATTCACATAGTCAAGCATTATGAGAAGAGTTATGACGGAAGAGAAGGATGAAGGCTTTATCGATTGTAATCATGTGCTTTGTTTGGGATAATCGAACAAGTTTCATGAAACGAACAATCTCGATCGTCATTTCATTCTCATGTTCGCACACATCCATTCATCTCCTATCAGAGAATAATCTGCTCGATAAGAAAACGCACTCCATCGGATTGAATTTAAGGGAAACAAATGGAACCAACAAAGCAATTGGGCTATTATAACATCAAGCACTGCTCAGTGATCAACGTGGAGGCAGTTCGTTGATCTGTCTGCTTGCCATAAGTCAAAGCAATGTATATTTTCCATGCACCTTCTACCTTCAATTTGTCATTGTTTGCAAACCATGAATATTAGATGAATATTTATTTAAGTTATCACTTCAGCTGTTGAATCGTTTGTATTTCACCGATTCAGTAGATCAACTTCCAAATCTTACGCATCGATTAATTCGGAATTGTGGAATATTCTTTTGAATTTCTGTACTCTTTTAATAATCATCTCGCAGTGATCGTTCCCTTTATTTTCTGAATTTTGAAGGTGTGATCGAAAGCTTTCTAAACCCAAGCGAAATTAAAGTCGTTCCTATCGTTCGGTTAACTTGTTCGTTTCCCGTTGCAGTTATTTTCAAGTTTCGTTACTGTGGATCTAATATAAATATGTGTTTTAGCTGTGATGTACATATTCTATGCTTATTATTTTACGCAGTTCTTGTGTGCAGTTTTATATTTGCTCTATGAAGCCCTTATATTTGAATGCATATTCTTTAGACGATTCATTGCAGTTGAATCGTTTGATGTTATTTTATGAATATTTTACGAATAAAAGTTCTGCATAATTTTTATTTTCCTGCTTGTAATCATAATAAAACTGGCAGTGAATATTCAATGCACTAATCGTAAGCTTGTTCACATATATTATAGCTGATGCAATTTCCATGCATACCAAGTGCATTGCACACATTTACATGTTTAGCTTTTTGTTGGGATACTGAGTTCTGCGTTCTATGCAATCCGAAATGAAAGTTTCACCGTGACGAAAACTTTTGAGCATTTATTTAGCACGTTTTTACCCACTGAGCGGTTGTATTGTATTATAAGTGGTGGTGTTTTAATTCGATCGACAATTTTGCACTGAATATTAGTCGAAGGGATTTCTAGGTGCTTCAATTTACATTTTGATAGAAATTGCTGCTTTGCGTGGTGATCAATTATTCTATGATAACGGATAGTGAACAGTTTATCAACTAAACAGACAAATTCGTAACTTCGCATCACACATGCTTAAGGCAGGGGAAAATACGTCCGAATCAATGGAAAAGCCAAAATTAAATGAAAAAAGCTGCACAATTTATTTGAACCGACTCATTACGAACAATAAGCATTGAGTTAGTTAGCGTTGACAAAATCAGGAAAATAATTTGAGGAGTTATAAACGTAATTATGTGATTAAATAGCCACAACCTGTTTGGTTCAGATGTCGAATGCGATCATCTACCCATTAATTAGATCAACTGATCGATTGGAGTAGATGCGTGAATGGTTTAGAATTAAGATGCGCGAAGGGAACACATCAGCACGTGACGATGAAAGCACTTCGGAAGGAACTGAACAAAGCGATCATCGCAGTAGGCCGTCATCATCACGAACTTGGTCATGGAACTGCTTTCCTTGTTGGAGAAAGCGCACATTTGCAGGTCTCATCTTTCAATCGTAAAACTGCACAGCGTTCTAGTACAGTGGTTCTCATAGGGGGTGAAATTACCCATTTTTGGTAATGTGGAGGTGTCAAGGGGTAATGGAGGAGGTCGGGAAGTTACTATTTCGTACAGCTGTTATATAAATGCGGTTAGTTGACGGCAACACTCTTCATTCTCCTATTTCCTGAGTATCATTAGCTTGTCCGGGCCTAACAGAGTTTTCATTCGTTTTAAGAGGATTTTTATTCTTTTCCTTACTGCTACAATCGCTCTCATAGCTTTTATCACCAAAAGTGTTCTTTTTTTGCTAATTTCTCATTCATTTCACTTAACAATTAGAGTCAAATTCTCATTCTATCAAATACACTCTATAATTGTCGAACGTTGTTGAGCAATTCAATTCGATAGCTGTATTGTTGATTTTGGCTGCCAACACTCGTCAACGTATCCAGTAAATAGTATATACTACAGAATAAGAAGTTGATTCGATCTGTGAAGTGAAATGAGACGAATTGAATGAGAAAAATTCATCAAGAGAACGATATTCGCATGTAATAGCTATGAGAGTGAATACAACACGTCTGAAAAGAATGAGAATTCATGTAAGTCAGTTTGAAGTAAGCGTGTCATAGACAATAGCTTTTCATGCAATCATAATCGATTGCAATAATGAGCAACACAATGGTCCAAGACAGTGGTTGTCATGAGGAGTGAAATTATCTGTTTTGGATAATTTGGAAATTTCGAGGGGGAAGGGGGTAACGGCGGCCTGCCAGGTCATCAAGAGGGGTAATGGAGCACCCGAACATGAAAACTACTGTCCCAATACATCAATTGCTCATTCAAATGTGGTATGAAACTGTGGTGTTTCCAATCATTCAACTGTACTTCGAACAGATTACACAATGCTTTTTCTTTAAGATCCATCAGGCGGAGCCCTGCCTCAACATTGGCTCAATCCGGATGCTAAGAATTTCCGAACTCGGCGGAGCGGAAGTAGGCAAAATACAGCTATTGCACTGCTACAACAACCCACTTTTATTTTCACACCATCATAGCGCTCAATTGAATTTATAACTATCCAGTTTTACTTCAGATTCACCCTCTCAAAGGGAGGGAATTTCATTTCAACATGCGATGAAGTAGTAGCATGACTGAGATTGGTTTTGTTAAGGTAGTCTAACTGGATGCAGTGTAGCAAAAGGTGATAACTTAATGGATAAAAGTGTTTCTTCAACTGAATCTATTGAAGAAACAAATGAAAGTACTGGTCGTTCTGAGACCTCAACTACAACTAGCAGTAATTAACCTGATCGATCACCAGTTTTTATTCAGTGATAAGTTACTTTCCATGCGTTTCCAAGTTCTTCCTCAATGTTTTACCATCACTATGGATGAACTTAATGTGAACAAAATAGTATTGGATTAAACGATTAATAATCACATTCGATTATATATGCACTCTCGAATATATGTGTTGTTATGGTCAAAATGTGCTGACCTAATCTAATATTGCCATGATCAAAATACAATGTTCGATATTCGTGCAAGTCGCAACACATACAACAGATTATCTCAGTTGTTAAACAGATGAGAAATCGGTATCGTCATCGTCATCGTCGCAAATTGTTGTGACGGTTGTTCTGGGCTCAACAGTGGTGCGCTCATCGCTTTTCCATAGCACGAAAGCATGCCTCATGTTGTGCTCTACATCATCCACGTCACTGTCACCACTCTCATTATCTCCGCTTTCGATTACAGTTGCATGCCGTACGGTGCGATTGGGCCTGCAAAGACTACGTTTCGCATTAGGTAAAAAGCTAGAAACTTCTCTGACAAGATCAATTCTATCTGTTCACATTCGAAAACCAAAAGAGAAGTGAAAGCAGTCCATATGAATGCTGCTCTTCCCTAGCATGCTGTGTGTTTTTCTCGAACTGCTAAGGGTTACGACTGGAAAGAAAGCAGAACTCCCAGTCACCGTCCTAGTTTCTATGGAAATCATGACAGAGACTGGTAACCCCGTTATTTGAACGAAACCGACCCAATCTCATAAACGCATCAGTTTGAGAGCTTCTGAGAAGAGCAATAAAATTGATTGATAGATTGTAAGTGAAATTTACTCCACAAAACGATACATTATTCAGTTCAAATCAGCATTTAAAGATCATTGCAATGAAACGATGTTCTCGGAAACGAGCAGTAAGGGAGTTGAAATGATCAACAAGCGATGACTTCGGTTGGAACTGAAAGAAGAGTTCCTAAAGAAGAATACAAACCGTAAAGCAAAGAAGAACTCCTCCTGCATTTGATAGTCCATTATATAATTGAGAATACGCCAAACAACAACCATCGAATAAATTTCGAATGATATTAAAAGTGACTGAAATTTCGAATTAAAGCTAAATCACCCACTCAACTCTTTGTACACTCCACTTAACAACTACTCATCGAAATTCATTGATCACAACGATAATTCTCAGCCAAATCTTCGACACATCCTCTCAAATTGTCATTCATCTATTCCAAAATATCTTTTGGTGTTCCCTTCAACGTACATGAATCAGTGAGAAATGCGAAGTAATGAATATCGTTTATGAGGTCAGTAAGAACATCTTTATCATCATCAAACCTCTGCAACCACTTCGACAAGATGCGAAGAGTTCTGCTGCTTCGTTTCGCTGATCAAATCCAGAATATCAACAATGAGTTTCATTGAGAACATAAATACAAACAGAATACAAATGGTGAAGTAGGGTATAACCAGTATATAAGTTTTCTTCACAACACCAATTATCAACGATGCATATGCTAACAAAATCACTGCCACGATAATCACACTCGCTGAAAGATAATGCTTTTTCACGTGCGATTTCTTGTCTTATTGGGACTGAACGAATNTTTGAATGATCAAACTTGATCCCTTCACTAATCATATAAAGACTATGAATTGAGATCGAGCAGATGAACACCACAAAAAGTTTCGGATAAAAAGTGAATGTTCGACACAAAGCTGATTAATTGAATGTCAGATGTATCACTTAAATTTGCGTTACCCGAAACTGCCGTATCGAGTTCAAATGCTTATCGCTACACAATGCTCGTGATTTATCGGCGGTGAACATATCTCCGAGTTTTCCACCGCGATCGATTGTGGCTGCAAACGAGTTGTTCACTCTAAATCTCAAAGCATCAGTAGGTCATATTTTTGAACATTGCTTTGACACTCTCTCGCTAACAGCACGAACGTTTTCTCGACAGTTACACATTAAATTCAAGCTACAACCAACTAATCGGTCTCACGATTTCTAAAATAATTTCAGAGAATTGAATCAAGAATTTCTCAATAGAATTTTTATAGCATTGTGCAAATGTGGACGTTACGGCGCACTATTCTAATTTCATTTATTTGCTCATTTGGGTGGATGATTCGGGAAGCTCGTCAGATAAATGAACGATTAAGAACGGATTTTGCACTGTTGCTGTTGCTGTCAATAGAGTGCAACAAGCAATTGCCATGCAACACTAATACATTAAAAAATGAAATTAACATACGATTAGCATTAAAGTCCATAGCTGATCGATCACTTCTTCGAACATCTAATCCTTTAANTCCTTTAAAAAGTCAATTTCACGTTCAGCGTCGATGATCTAGCATGACAGTGATGACGTGAAATGGAGTTGCTTGAAGAGTTATACAAAAATGCCTCAAAAAAACAAAAATTCATTCAATCGAAATGCAACAAGAGCTATGAAGACGCATTCAAATAAATGAACAGTTGTTGCTTTGGAGATGAATTTGTAGAAAGATGAATCCAAATTGGGAAAATTCGAATCGCATAAGATGATCACGGAATGATTAGCACAATGACATTCGTTGGGACAACTTCAGCGGATAATGAGATATATTGTGCGACACGATGCAGCACTCGAAAACAGATTTTTCCATTCCTAGAAATTGTTCAGTGACGATAAACTTTTATTTTTGCTTCAATGCATTTCCATGCATCCGCTACACATTTAATTTGTTCACTGCGTATGAAGAAAAAAAAAGAGATCGAAATCTCAGTCGATGCACTAACTAATCAACATCATTTTGAGGATTCTCCAGTTTTTGTCCACAAGCCACTTCAATAAAGGCGTTTTTGTTAGAGTGATGGCTGTTACTAGCGAAAATCAATCAAATGATAACGCATGCTGAAGGGTTTTGTTGATGAAATTTGGAGTCGCCAGTAAAACTAAATTAACGAAAAAAAAAAACAGAACAAACACTGACAAACAAAAATGATTGGGTTTGAACAGAAAGTCGTGCAAGTCTACTTTGAAGAGAGATACGCACCACATACTTTCACCCAGCTCTCAATTGATCAAAATCCAGTCTCATTGCATCTCATTACTTCATTAATGCCTCACTCGTTACGATGACTTAAAATCATTGAATACTTTACAATTTTGTAGTGCTCAGAAATAATCCAGCAAAATTTTGCTCCTTGAGGGCGATCAATGAAAACGCAATCCTAGATAGTGACAACTGCATTCTACCCCATTAATCATATCTCCTTTCTCTTCAAATCGTCTATAAAGCTCTCTAGAACGGATGAGCACGCAATAATCGGAGAAATGAATGACGACGAAAATCAACAAAATTAGATTTTAAAATTTTCAGATTTTAAAAAGCATACAGAATCGAATAAGTAGTATCATCGCAAAACTAGCTAACTCAATTGAGTGAATTAAACGCTAGACGCAAATGAAATCCAGAATTATTATATCACGATTACGAGTTTATCACTCGTTCATTGCAGCAGCAGTATCCCTTCAGTGTTCATTTGACGAAGTACGAATACGACGAATATTTGCGATTGTATGCAATGACACAAGTAACTATCAAATGATATCACTGAATCGACAAAAAAAGATTCAAACGAACTGTCAAGATGTGAGCATTTCACTGTGCACATAAACTGAAACTAAAAAAAGATTTTCATTGGCTTCATCTCTAAATGAAAGACTGATGACTGATGCAGCAAAGACTGTTGAAACGAACATCATTAACTTCACATTCATTCTTCACTGATTCACATAAATTTATTTCCTTCAAAAGAACGAATAAATCGATATTATCCCAAAAAAATTTCAATTTAGCTCACTCACATTTGTGGTAGGGAAGCAAGTTAAAATTTGAAAGTGAAATGAAGCTGTTTGTAAGCTTTAGGGTATTCCAAATAGTATATTATTTATTGTTAGAGCTTGGACGAAGAGCTGAATAATTTTGGCGAAAAAGAAACAATAATCGATGATGTGAAACATTAAAGAAGAAATCAATTAAACCAGTGGTTCTCATAGGGGGTTAAAGTACCCATTTTGAATAATTTAGAGATGTCAACGGGTATAGGAGGGGATCCGGAAATTAGTATTTCGTGCAGCTGTTATATTATGATGGAACGCCATTGTGATGGTGTTCCATCACTCGGATATGTGAGTGCGGTTAGTCGATGGTAACACTCTTCATGCTCCAATTTCTGAGTACCATTAGCTTGTCCGGGCCTAACAGGATTTTCATTCGTTTTAACTGGATTTTTATTCTTTTCCTTGCTGCTACAATC